TCCGTTATGTCTTTTCAAAGAGGAGCCATGAGAATGATCCGTCGATTGATTTTCAAAGTACCCCATAGCACTATAAAGTTTACAAAGAACATAATATGTGTTTTATCTACCTGCTTGTAAAATTTGAATAGGCTTTGTCGACCGGGCTTTCTACACCAAAATTATAATTGTTGTGCCTTTTACCGCTAGACCCTTTTTTCTTCACGTGATTGCATCTGATCGCAAATGAATGCTGTTGCAATGAGACTATACACGTTTGTAAACCTTTTGAAAAGGAATCTCCGCCCATGACAGAATCTACTCATACATCCCCATATTATGTTTCCTCGAATCTCAAACGTTAGGGTTCTGTTTTTTTTCTTTTCTTCAAACTATTGAGAACTATCCACAAGCCTCTCCGTAACCAGAACACACAGTTATTGTCTGCGATCAGTTGCAATCAAATGGGATCGTATGCGCTCTGTTCCTTGTATAGAAGATTTTCAAGCTTTCCGCATCTCTCTCCCATCCACGTTTATAATTTTTAATCTTTGCTGGGCCGGATTAAACTGTTTTGGATGCGATAGCTGAACAGTGTCCACTTAATAATATAGGCGCCAGTCGGGGTGGATAATTAAAATGAAATTTAAGCATAAAGCTACAGAGTACGGAAAGATCGATTGATAGTCGTTTTATTTAAACTATTATATACATTGGAGAGACATAACAAAATTAAGATTCATAGTCTGCTTGAGTGCGAATGCTCTCACAGAAATGGGGATATTCCTTAACGACAAGAATTGTGTTTGAAAGAAAAAGGGAATCTTTTGAGGATGCATAAAATGTTTAACTTAACCCCGAAACACCTGGTATGATGAGTTCACATTCTTCCGTTATGTCTTTTCAAAGAGGAGCCATGAGAATGATCCGTTGATTGATTTTCAAAGGACACCATAGCAATATAATTTTTACAAAGAACATAATTTGTGTTTCATCTACCTGCATGTAAAATTTGAATTGGCTCTGTCGACCGGGCTTTCTACATCAAAATTATAATTGTCGTGCCTTTTACCGCTAAAGACCTTTTTTTCTTCACGCGATTGCATCTGATCGCAAATGAATGCTGTTGCTATGAGACTATACACGTTTGTAAACCTTTCGAAAAGGAATCTCCGCCCATGACAGAAACTACTCATACATCACCATATTATATTTCCTCGAATCTCAAACGTTAGAGTTTTGTCTTTTTCTTTCCTTCAAACTTACCCTACAACTTTGAGAACTATCCACAAGCCTCTACGTTACCAGAACACGCAGTAATTATTGTCTGCGATCAGTTGCAATCAAATGGGATCGTATACGCTCTGTTCCATGAAACTCATGTGAGCGAGAAAACACACATGTATTTGTGTTTATTTATTCAAATATTGTTTCTTTATTAAAGTTTTCCAGCAAGACAAAGTGTAAGTTGGTTTGTAACTTTGTAAATTGTACAACTCAGATTAAAACATGGAGATACAGTGAGTTCAAACATTCATGTATTTGATTGTTTGTTTTTTGGGGTCAGATTTGACTCATTTCAGACTCAACAAACGGATACAAACATACACTTGGAACTGAAACAGGAATGAAGAGCATATTTTATGAATTGGGCCAGTTTAGATACAAATTTTGTGATAGGCTATGATTTGAACCTCTTGCATGCAAAACTGTCTGGCCGTCTTTTCCTGTGTCAGTTTCGGTCCCTTCTTTGGTTAGTAAAGAGACCACTTTGTGCCCGGGACTACCTGTACAATTTGTCAACAATCTTCACATTGCTAGCAAGTTTTACAGGCAGTTGAAAAACCTCATCAGCTGGGAAGCAGAGAGTGTTGTCTCAACACAACATTGGAGACCATGGATTAGTATAAGGTGAAAAGATATGAATGGAATGATGTCGCTGAAACACATGTATTAAAGCATTAAAAACTGAGAAATAGCAGGCCAAAGAGGGCGAAAAAAAAGAAGAAAAAAACGCATTAACAGCTGAAAAATATCAGCCCAAAAAGGGCGAGAAAAAAAAAAGATGATTATTTTCCGACCGACCCATGTTTTAGCACCTAAGGCACAATATATTTTTATTTTTTAGGCCTCGTAGTTAATTACGTCACGGATTTATACAATTGGCATTCGGAATGTCGCCAGAATGCCCCACTCAGAATCCATTGTTTTGTTAGAACAGAATATAAAACAATGAAAATACACTTTACAAACAAATATGCAAGTTTTAATAAGTGAACCCATAATTATTTACAAAAATTTAAGTACAAAATAGAATCATAGTGACAAAGTGATGTGGAGAAGAAGAAAAAAATCTCACTTTTTATTTCTCTAGCGCAAGTGATATTTTCTTTATTCGTTTCTTTCTTTCCGTCGGCTTAATTTTTGTCATGAAAGCCGGTAATATCAGCGACACTTCATTGTTTTCACCAATCTCTTTCTCTCACTTTTTATTTCTCTAGTGCCAGTGATATTGCAATTCATTTTCTTTATTTATTTCCGACGGCTTAAGTTTTATCATGAAAGCTGGTAAAATCAGCGATATTTAATCGTTTTCGCTTCTATCTCTCTCACTTTTTGTTTCTCTAGCGCAAGTGATATTTGAATTAATTTTCTTTATTCATTTCTTTCTTTCCGTCGGCTTAATTTTTGTCACAAAGCCGGTAATATCAGCGACAACTAATTGTCTCCGTAGGGGCAACAAAGTCTTGTCGATAATTATTGTTTTTAGATCTCCATAGGGGCAACAAAACGTTGCAGATAATTATTGTTTTTAGATCTCCGGAGGGGCAACTAAACCTTGCCGATAATATTTGTTTTTAGATCTCCGGAGGGGCAACAAAACCTTGCCGATAATTATTGTTTTTAGATCTCCATAGGGGCAACAAAACGTTGCAGATAATTATTGTTTTTAGATCTCCGGAGGGGCAACTAAACCTTGCCGATAATATTTGTTTTTAGATCTCCGGAGGGGCAACAAAACCTTGCCGATAATTATTGTTTTTAGACCTCCGTAGGAGCAACAAAGTCTTGCCGATAATTATTGTTTTTAGATCTCCGTAGGGGCACCTAAGTCTTGCCGATTATTATTGTTTTTAGATCTCCGTAGGAGCAACAAAACCTTGCTGATAATTATTGTTTTTAGATCTCCGTAGGGGCAACAAAACCTTGCTGATAATTATTGTTTTTAGATCTCCGTAGGGGCAACAAAGTCTTGCCGATAATTATTGTTTTTAGATCTCCGGAGGGTCAACAAAACCTTGCCGATAATTATAGTTTTCAGATCTCCGTAGGGGCCACAAAGTCTTGCCGATAATTATTGTTTTTAGATCTTCGTAGGGGCAACAAAACCTTGCCGATAATTATTGTTTTTAGATATCCGTAGGGGCAACGAAACCTTGCTGATAATTATTGTTTTTAGATCTCCGTAGGGGCAACAAAGCCTTGCCGATAATTATTGTTTTTAGATCTCCGTAGGGGCAACAAAACCTTGCCGATAATTATTGTTTTTAGATCACCGTAGGGGCAACAAAGTATTGCCGATAATTATCGTTTTTAGATCTCCGTAGGGGCAACAAAACCTTGCTGATAATTATTGTTTTTAGAAGTAGAAAATTAAAAAAAGCAGGCATGCATGATCTAGATAATCTTCAAAAAGGGAAAACAATCAACGTATTAATGAGGAAAACAAAATTGAAACGGGAGAGATATTTTTAAAACACCCCCGCTTTTTACTGCCGTTTTGAACGGAATCGAGCGCTTTTGTAATACTGCCGTACAGAATATCGCGCCTCTTTTCTGCCGTAGAGGACAGTATGCGTATTCAGTGATAACGCATAACAAGAGCGCGCGATCGCGCTCATAGTCGCGCATTTTGAGCGCGATCAATTGCGTGCGATCAGTGTGACGTTGATCGCAGGCGGAACTGTACCATCAGATTCCTTCGGTATGGAACCTCCTACCACAAATATCTTATGTTCTTTAGCAGCCGCAGCCAGTGTTTGACTGGACTTACCTGGTACGCTCTCCGCATACTCCTTGGAGAACTGGGTGCCGTAAGGACAGTTGAAACATTCAGGGGGGGGGGGGGTAACGATCTTAGCTCCGGCCTTAGCTCCGGCCTTAGCAGCCTCACCGATCATCCTCACAGCTCGACTCAGGTTCTCACTCTTGTTGGCAGATTTGGCCATCTACACAAGGGCCAGCTTCAATACTGATTTTGAAGACATGTCCAATTATATTTCAGGTCTTTACTTCTGGGGATTGTAATGTCAACTAATTGTAATGTCAACTAACTGCAAATCTGCTGAAGTCCCTCCTATACTGTCTATAGAGTATTGGTATAGTCTCAACTCTCGATGCACTGCAGTTTTTTGCATGCAGATGCATTAGATTTCTGGTCCTTTCATGACTGTTTATGCAAATGTTTAATGCATTTTCCCCCTCTGTTAGGTGCCTCTCAGGAGAGTAGTACATTACTGTCACGAAACTAAACCCTGTTCAACTACTCTGGTCAGATTAATAAATCGTTTTTAACAATCTCAAATCCAAACTAGAGTTACTCACGCCATAGAACTACTAGGAGGAGTAAACAACAACGATATATGAGACTAGGCTCTTCAATGGACACTTACAGATTTACTTATTTCCCCAGGACACTTAAGGACTGGGACGAGCTACTTCAGATCATCGTCGAACTGCCTTCTTTGGAGCAGTTCAAGGTGGCTCTTGAATCAATTTAGTTTCCTTTTCAGGAACTGTACCGCATAGAGCTGTATATAACAACTCTATGCTTTACCCTCATCTAGATGCTGAACAGGCGTTGATGAGTATTACCATAGAAGTAGAAGTAGAATAGAATACAGTGGAAATCAAATGGTACATTTCCTTCCTGTTGAACAATGCATGTCCAGATGAAAGGAGAATGCACATTTTCTTGTATTTTTCCTTTGGGAAATAGATGAAAACTCTAACTTTAACTGAACATCTCATTTTTTGCTTCATTTCACAGAAAATTCTCAAGTAGGTCGTGGTATGATCAAAGGAGGAACCTTCCCTTCGCGGCAGAGTGTCAAGCCTTCCAGAATAGATACAGAAGATGGTAAGATCAATCAATCTTTACTCACAGCTCATTGTTTTTGTGATGTTCTTGCTAGGTAAATGAATAGAAAGAGAGTCGTTTTAGTTCATATCGATCCATTGTGATGGCCTGACTTGTACTAATCTTAGCATATGTTTCCTATATTAAATACCATTGGATTGAGGATGGAGGTGTAATTGTTTACTTGATTGATGGATACACCTTTGTAAAATCCTAACTACTGTCAAAGCTTTCTGGTTAAAAATGGACCACTCTCAGACTGTTAATTGAATATACATGAGTATCATTTTATCTTCATTATACCCCAGTTACACAGATAAGATCAACACAAGACCGGCCTCCATGAGACTCCTCAAAACATAAATCCTACAATACGAGAGTTGGTCAGTGTTTAGTCTGTTTAGTGGTGTGACTGTGGTATTTATAATATTGGAAATCATACTTTGGAAGTGGGATAAAAGTTTTACAACCATGATGATTAATTATCTTTACAAAAGGCTGGTTTAAGTTTATTAATGATCATGAGCTTATTGCATGATTTCTGGATTCTCCTCCACCACGTCTAGGTCGTAAAACATTTCCAAGTAGAGGCAAGAGGCCACCGTTGGCATCGATGCACGACGACCAGCACTCGATATCAGACTCCCTGTCATCACTAGGGAGAAGCAGTAGTAGCGGGATCAGTCCAGACTATGATACAGATAGTAGCATTCCAAGACGCTGGACTGAAGGTGACCTTGAGGGTCTGGCTGGAGGTCATCCCAAATCATTCAATCTAGCTGATAATACAAGATGTAAGTTACCATAGTGGGCTAATTCATGTAAAGCGTTTGGTGCAATGACATTTTAAGGGCAAGTCCAATTTATTTGGTGTCACATCTATTACCAAGTCTTAAGGGAATTTTGAACATGAAGTTTCATTGATCGTGTCATCATACTTCATAATTGGTTTGATCTAAACTCTAGTAGGGTGCTAGTAAAGGCCAGAGATAGTAATATTTGAGATATGGTTGGTATTGTTTGGGTCAAATAGCTTGGATATCCCCAAAGACTGCCCATTGAGACTGCAATGGCTTTAGCTAAGTTTAAACATGTAGTAGCTCTTCAAAGTATTCCATATTAGGCACATGTATATCTATAATTCTTGTCTTTTTGATATTTTTGTATTGTTTCATTTTTTTAATTGAAAAACATCCATAAAAATAAACAACAACTTGAGTCTTTGCCCTTCATAGCATGATTAGATTTGAAGAATCGCTATCTGCAAGCTCTTCATGTATTGTATCCTTGCTTTCATGACACTATTTATAACTTTAAGTTGTGGATTCTGAGGAAGTAACTGCGCTTTTGATTAAAAAAAATATAGGTCTTACTTTCATTTCCTTATTTGAAACCTGAACAACTCATCTTTGATGCACTTAGTGAAAATATATTCCATTCACATATGTCATCTTTTTCTCCCGAACTCCAGCGCCCAGGGCCCCGACTAATTGGCAGAGAGGAAAGCTGTTAGGACAAGGAGCGTTTGGGGTTGTATATGTTTGCTATGATGCTGATACAGGCAGGGAGTTAGCAGTCAAACAGGTTCCTACTGAGAATAGCAATACTGATGCTAGAAAAGTAAGTTAATTTAGCATCCTTTAAAGCGGGTCTGCACTACTTACAGCTACTTGCGCCTCTGTATAGCAAACAATAGCGGTACCCGTTGGTCCCCCATGATGCCCTTCTTCTTACGTTAATTGAGAGCTGATTTGATGAGATAACCACCTGTCAGTGACCATGCAGGGAGGTCTAATCCCTCCTGGCCGAACTAGTGCAGAAAGGCTTTGAATAACATATGCTTCCATGTGCCTGTTCCATAAATGTGTATGTTTTTTCATGTGATAGCATGGCATACTTTAACATGTTTATTATACATTGTTGATTTTGTAAATGAGAGTGCAATCGACTGGTCTTTAACTTGGCAGGTGTATGTATGTGTACATCATGAGAGCCATAGTTTCATTGATTTATTGTTTAGAATACTGATCTTGAATAATACACGCAAACCATGACATGTCATTATGTTCATATTGAATGTAGTTACTTAATCATTTGTACAACACTTTCCTAAGTCAACTGTGCCAATGCTTGAGATGTCTTGCTATAAAGTGTGTTTTGAAATGATTTCTTTTGTAGGAGGTGCAATCGCTGAAGCAAGAGATTGAGTTATTGCGGAACCTACAGCACCCTAGGATAGTGCAATACTTTGGATGTCTTGAAGAGAATGGAACACTGTCCATCTTCATGGAGTTCATGTCAGGGGTGAGTTCTGCCATTGAGTTACATGCAGTGATAACTCTACATATCACCAAACTAATGTCCATAATGACCTTTGTACCTCACACTCTGTAATGGCATGCTTGTAATTTTGCCTAATCATCCAACAAACTATCTGTAAATGAATTATGTTTGAATATCACTTGATGTGTGAACTTTATAATTGAAAACAAAATGTAAATATGACTGTTGAAACAAATCATGAGAACCATAAATGATGATTAATTTTTACAAATTTACTAGAGCATATAGGATATTGACCAATTTGTTGCGTTATCTCATTTATTGTTTGTCTAAGAAGTGACCTGGAATATATAAGTAGGCTAATTGATAGATGTGATTATTGTAGGAAGTAAATAAAAGAGGACTGCTTTATTTTTTACTAAACAATGATTGGATGAATAAAGCTTTGTCATTACTCGTTGACCTGAATCGGTCTAGTCTTCAGGTATAGAGCTTGAGAAGTCTCACAAGGACACCAATATCCATTGAGTTATGTTATAGTTGAAGTGCATGCTTCTCTATTATTAGAGGCTCAGTTCCCCCATGCATACAGCCTTTCAGGCGTGCCCTTTAGCAAAAGAAGTGATTGAAAATAGATATTTTGTGATCTATTATTGTGATGCCTTCTGTTGTGATGCCTTCTGTTTCAGTGGCTTTAGATCATTGTATTATATGTACATGTAATACATCTTCAGACAGCTGGTACACAAATCATGGTGCTTGTTGTTGCATTTATTTTGAATTTCATGTTAATATTACTTCCCTGTAAAGTGTTATTGATAGTAATTACAATTCATGGCATAAAAAAAGTAGCTTGGGTTCTGTGTTTTTTTCTAGTAGCTAGGGTTCCGTACTGAAAGAATTGAATAGAAGCTGCTGTATGTAAGTTTGCTGTTGAATACCTGCATTCTTTGACATATCACATGATCAATGGTGATTGTATTGGTCACATGACTATTTGTTCTCATGGTTTATTTCAGTTCCTCTTCCAATTTCATTGTGAAAAAAAAATGTGTGCACTCTATTTTATAGAAATCAGTTCATCTTAAGTTATTAGATGATTTTAATGCACCAAGAAGTATGCATTAATAGCAAATCCATTAATGTTACCAATATGGTCTCTGCCTTTGAACCATGAGTATGACATATATCTTTCATGTTTTGCTTCTCCATTTGACCATTTATTGAGAGAACTCATATAGGCTACATGAAGAATGTTACATCAAGGTCATGAAGAGATACCGGTATGCAAGTGAATAATTGAGTTTTCTTTGGTTGTCTTTGCAGGGATCGGTAAAAGATGAACTTCGACTCTACGGTCCATTGACAGACACGGTGACACGGAAGTATACAAGACAGATCTTAGAAGGGACAGCTTATCTTCATGATCATCATATAGTACACAGAGATATCAAAGGTTTGAATTTACACAATTTCTTTTTCACAGGGGGTTTAGAATAAAAAAAATCATGTGTCACCTTGATGACATTTGTCAAATTTGATGACAACAGCTCTGCAATGAGTTGTCATTCTCTCTTTGATGGTGTAGTGCTGCTTTCCATTTTGAATTTGAAAAAAAGTTCTTATGATTCATTTTCTGTGAATTGAATATTAATCTTTCTGCTTGCATCTTTCCAATTATGTTTTTCTAACATTCTGAAATTTGATGTTTGTATACTCAGTTCCATAGAGAAGTTTTTCAGGTGACCTTAAATCCCATTTGTTCAATTTTGCATTTTGAAGACAGACATTCATTCATTCTTTCATTTTTGCATTTTCTTTCTTATGTAAATGTACACGATTCTTAGTCATGATATAATGTGTTCCCCAATTTTTTGAAGCGCCTTGAGCATTTAATTAAAATGGATAATGGCGCTATATAAATCTCATGTATTATTATTATTATTATTACATGTACATATATATACCTATATTGAAATGTTTTTGATTATATTTACATGTTCATTTACATTTTTCAAATAATGTCCATCGGGTCAACCAGCTCATGTAACCATGTTAATGTTCTCTATTCTCAACCCAGGTGCCAATGTATTGAGATCGAGTGGTAACGTGAAGCTAGCAGACTTTGGTGCCTCTACCAGGTTACAGACGATACATAGTCATATCACAGGCATGAAGACAGTGACTGGTACCCCATACTGGATGAGCCCTGAGATCATCAACGGAGAGGGGTATGGAAGGAGAGCCGATGTGTGGTGAGTACAGACTGAAACTCATCAACAATTTAGTTAAAGGGATCGTTTAACAATGTTAAATCTGAGATGCACGGCCCTATGCCCTATATCAGTGTCTGTGATATGGTGTAATATTGAAGCCCTAAAAAAAAATTGCGCTTCAAAATGATCAAGAATTGCCTCAAAAAAGTAAAAATCTTTGAGTGACTGGTTTTACCAAACTCATTTTCCCCAATAAACTGTAGTGTTATGAAAACCGTTTGGCAAACAGTTTTCAAAATGTGTAATTTCAATCATAAATATCTTGATAATCAGACAGGCGATCGGCTTGTAAAAGTAATGGAATTCCTGGCAGACCTAAAGGTTTATAATTATCATTGCAGCATGAGCTTAATCCAGGATTTTGTTTCAGAATCTGAGACAAAGTTACCGGATCCCTTTAATGTACACTTCCAGTTCTGATATATGTTCCTAAAGAATTTATCACATGCATGAGCAGAAAGACAAATATAAGGCCCAATCATTGCCCATTTTGGATCAATTATCAGATGATATGTGATGTAAACGACTTTTCAAAAGAATATTACCAATGAATTTTTTCAAATTATCAGCACTCTGGCAGAATCTTCACCTTAATTTCCCTTCAAAATGTGTTATTCATATTGAAATGAACCTTTATTTTTTGTTTGTATTGTAATGTTTGTATTTAGGGGGGGGGGGGAATAAAGTGCAGCACTATAAACAATTGTAAAGTTGATTAAATAAAGAAAGTAAGCATATGTAAATGACTTATAAGCTCTATTTGATTGTAGTATATCTGCCAGTATTGTCTAAGATATTTGTTTGTTTGTTTATTTGCAGGAGTATCGGTTGTACTGTAGTTGAAATGTTGACCACCAAACCCCCCTGGGCGGACTACGAAGCTATGGCAGCCATCTTTAAGATTGCTACGAAGGAGACCGAGCCTGTACTTCCACAAAGTGTGTCTCAAGACGCAAGAAACTTTCTCACCCTCTGCTTCAAAAAAATCCTGGCCGACCGGCCCTCGGCCGCTGAACTCTTACGGCACAATTTTGTAAGGACTGCCCCCATGGATTGACATAGAGGGCGCTGTATAGAAACTGAAACGGTGAAGAAACACATAGCGTGGACTATTAGAGTGTTTAACGGTGTGTACTGTGTATGGGGAAGCTGCAGCTAGAGAAGGAAGGTGATGAGAATGGCTCAGGATAGCAAACCTACGCCAAGCCAAGCATGAATAGCCTGGCTTTCAGATATCCATCGGTTGGTCGGAGCAGCTTTATGATATCTATCGGAGCAGCTTTATGGTACTAATCAATCGCAAACAAGGAGGAAAACAATGGCTGTCATAGGACAAGGTGTCTGCCGGCATACAGTCAAGCTTCAACCATCATTGTAATCACTGATTATCAACTCAACTAGTCGATTGATGTCATCCCTAGATTGTTATCGTTCTTATTCTCCTTACCTTCAATATTTGATAGTCATCCTTTTATCATGTTATGTAAACAGCATTTCATCTGATGCAAGCTCTGATGAGGAATAGTGAAACCTGTCATTATTACATCTTCTTTCATTTGTGGATAAAATAACATCTCCTTTTTTTCTTCTTTTGGGCTCAGTTTTGTTACTAACATATCTTATGCTATGGGGGGAATATGAATAGAATACTTGTATACCTGTACTGATAGTTATTCACCCTGTGCTATCTTAGCTTATCGAAAAACTTCTATAAAAGGCTTTGTTCGCTTATTAAGTGGTAAACTGCTTCAAAATAGCAAAACTGCTATGATTTTATAGATAAATAAATGAAAAGTCAAGTGGGGGCAAAAGAAAGAAAAAAGGTAACAAATCCAGGGGAAAAATAAAGACATGCATAATCACTAAACTGTGTGGATTGAGATTTGTAATTTTCACCATTCTTACTGGTATTTCATGTGATGTTACTGTGACTTTAAAAAAAAATGTAGTATGCATGTATACTACATCATGTGTTTCATTAAGTAGGAGGCAAAGTTTCATCTAAATACTATTTAAAACTCTGAACTAAATTATCATGACAGGGTTGATGTGAACTCTTCATTTACACAGTTTGAAATATTGTGATGCAGTCTTAAGGTACATTCTAATGCTCACATTAATGACTTCCATACATCATTACATTCATGTGATGTTTATGTAGGAAAGATTTCTTCGCACAACATTTACCACATATTTTGATCGATTAGAAAAATGGGAGAATATTCATAAGACGTGTTGCCAGTGGTATATACATGTTATGAAGTTGAGGTGTGTCTCATAAGTCATTGCTCAGAAAACCATTAAATTGCTTTCTATATGCACTACCATGCATTCTGCCATTTCAACTGAGTCACAATGTACAATGCATAACAGCTTAGAAGCAATCTTGAGCATGAGTTTATGATGCATGCAAATGGCTGATAAAACCTTATATCTTATAACCTTTCTCTTCTAACCCATAAAACTCTGTTCAATATGTCACATACCAGCCCAAGGTACACACATAATGGATTTTTAGAGTATGAATATTGTAGAATGTTACACAAAGTAATCTACACTGTTTATATGATTTAAGGATGAAATTGAAAGGTGCAAATATAAGTTCAATAATATAGATTTATTTTCAATGCATTAGATCATGCTGCAAAGGTTTTTACTTCTCTTTCTTCGTGTCTATTTGTTAGGGAATAATATTAACTTGGCATTAAAATTGTGAATGAAGTAGCATATAGCATATTAGGACACATTGTTATACATAGAGCACATTGTTATTTTTTATGCGCATAGAACAAGGGTCTTATATCTCTCAATATGTGATCGGATATAGTTGTGTGTGTGTCAAACTACTATGATACATGTATGTACATTTTTGTACATGTATATGTATATAACTGTGTATGTGTATAGAATCCTGTACTATACATTTATATATAGATATAACAAATATATATGCATACACTTTAAACAAAAGTATGATTGAGTATAACATATAACATATGTGCCTATGTGCATTAGAGTCTATCGTGTGTCAATGTGATGTAGTGTGTTGTAATTGTTTGTTTTTAATACGTGAGTCAAGTTACTTGTTTATCAGTCACTGGAGCAAATAACTTAATCTTTCTAGTAATTCTTTTGAATATCCGGCCTTTTTTCTGGATTTTATCCCCTGAGGGAACGTCAGATTCTAAGTGCCTGTTTGCAAAAACCTTGAATTGTTAGTGTACAAAGGTACATGTATAGCCTTACATCTCTCTCTATTTACTCTCGCTCTCTCTTTCTCTCACTCTCTCTTAATATCTCTCTCTCTCTCTCTCTTAATCTCTGATTCTCATTAATATTTCTTAAGTGTTTTTACCATGATGTGTAAGCAAAGTGGCTCATAGTGCCCATAAACAGTCAGGTATTATTCAAAATATGGTAGCCATTTCCCCCCACAAACAAAAAAGCAACCTGTCAAATAAGCAAATTGTCAAGCCTGTCATGGTGCTATGTTGTATATCAGATAAAAATTATCTCCATTTCTCAGAATCATTGGTTCTACTCTGTAACTACATGTAGCATTCATTACAATATGCATGTAATTCAAATCTACATTGATCTTCAGTATATAAAGAGACAGATTGGTATTGGTCTGCACAAAATGAGATACATTGTAGTAGCTATTTGCTAATGCTTCAAATTAGTTATTCCCTCTTTTTTTAATTATTCTCTGGTCTTTCTAAAGATTTTCTTTCTACCATACAGTCGTTTGACTTGTTCCATTCATCATCTCTCTCCCTCCCCCTCCCTCCCTCTCTCTCTCTCTCTCTCTCTCTGTCTGTCTCTCTCTCTCTCTCTCTCTCTCTCTCTCTCTCTCTTTCTCGCTCTCTCTCTTCCTCCTGTGTTTCCCCCTCCATCTCCCCTCTATCATTCTTTCCCTTTCTCTCTTCCTTAGATGACAGTCACATCATTGAATGTCCATGTAGATTGCTGATCTCAGTGCTTAAATAATTGCATGTCATCTTAACTTCGCAGATACATTTGCAAATGTAATTACTGTAAGAGTCGAATCTCCTTTAAGGTTGTCATATATGTTCAAAAACATTTCTATTTATCTCTTAGTCTCTATATTGGTTAAGCTGTTGAATACTGAACTCTTTAATTCCCATATGTCTAGTACAGAAACCATTGTTTTCCTATAGGCAGTGGGTTAAGTGATAAGATATCTGCCTGTGGACTCAGGAGTAGAAAGTAACATGTGTTTGTGATTTGTTTCAAATGTACTTAGTGTATGTTTGTTATAAAGATTGACATATGTTTTACGTTAACTTACTAATAATACATGCATTTCGTTTGGTATGTAACAGATATGCCATGTCTACAGGAACCATTATGTCAAGATATGGAACAGAATTTCAAAGAACCTGCAACAATTTCCTCACCTATGTGACCCATGTTTAAGGTACCCCCCCCCCCCCCACCCCTGTGAAAGGACCCATGCTATGCCTCGTGGAGTAATGTTAAGTACTGGTAATTGGTTTCAAATAATGGGTTAAAAAATCAGCTATGCATGATGTTTTGAAGTATATATGGTATCTCTGAAAATAACATATTTACTTAGTCCATACTATGCTGCATTATCTTAGGTGAAGAAGTGTTAAAAATATAGGTCCCATTTAGCAAGGATTTGTAGATATTTGCTCTCTCCAAACAGGAAATTTTTCTCATGCTTACACTCCCATTTCAATTCCGTTTATAAAGGTCACATTGAAATCAGAATTTTATTTCTTTCAGGGCATCTGGGCAGTTCATTAGTAGATTGCTTTAAGTATTTCTTGCTTGCTTGGAAAACGGTTGTGTCTTGGACTTAAATAATCATAGCCTATTTTTTATGTTTTTACAAGAAAGTTCTCATTATCAAAATGAAATAGTTTGGAACATTACTTACGCAACGGGATGTGATTATTGGACAAGATTAAAGGAATGTTTCCACCACAAACGTTGAACTTTCACACTGCAGTCTTGTACAACTTCCAAGCATTGGCGAATGAAGTTCAACATATGGGGGAAATGACTGGTACCTGTTTGTCTATCTGTTAATACTCCATATCCACCAATCATAGACAGTGTCTCTTGTTTGTATCAGTATTCATTTTACATTCTCAATTATGATTGGTTGGCTAAATTCTTTAAGTACATCATATCTTTCTTTATTTCTTATAAAGATGAAAATGAAAAAAAAAATCATATTAGATAATTATATTCTTAGTGTATGAGAATATTATGACTATTTATACTCCATATTATTGTACATTTTCGTATAACAGAGAGAAGAATTCCAGAATTATTTTTTGTAAGAATTGTTGCTATAGCAACGCAAGAGCTCATGATGTTGTATATGATTATATATACATTTATTGGTTTGTACAAAGTTCAGTATGTATATTATAGTGGGCTTATATTGACTCATAATGATAAATAATGGCTGGTGTGTAAGAAAAGTAGTCTTGGGCTGATATTGTGAGTTATTTAAAGGGGAATCCAACCTTAAGAGCAAACTACTCTAGAAGAAAGCAGAATATTTGAGAAGCATACTGGTAAAAGTTTGAATGAAATCGGACAAAAATGAGAAAGTTACACATGTTTTAACGTTGTGACTACTAAAGGTATGGGCTCTTCAAATGGGCAGAATTAGTAATGTCTCTGTGACGTAGTTGCGGCTAACTTTCTCATTTGTTCCAACACAAAAATTACAAAAATTTTAAAAAGTAAAAAATTCAAACATGGACGACTCAGGATGGTCTTTTCTTTTTAGAGGACATGTAATAATATACTCTTCATAAGATAATTTGAGTAGTGCCACAAGGTGAAGGCACTTGGGAGAAAAACAGAAATGAATCATATTTTTGTACATGACAAACAGGATAATTATCCGTGTCTATGTCCACTGACAAAATGTCAATTTGAGATTCGCATAGATGTAGTGATCTCATATTTCAATCATTTATAACTTTGGTATTATTGGTCTGATTAATTTCAAACTTTCACCATTTTGTTTCTCTAATTTGTTTTGCTTTCATTCAAATGAAAAAGGTTGGATTGCCCTTTAATCAGCAGTCTAAAATCAATGCATTCTGTATTTGGCTTAACATAAAGCATTTTGCAGATTGAATTTTCTCCATGTTTTGCTTGTCATTGTAACACCTCAATCCATTCTAGACAACTATCAACAAACTATACATACTGAGTTACAAAGATGTATCGTTTTGATGGCTGTTTTTATACCAAAAGAAATTGAGATTAAAATGCCAAAATGAAAGTTGTGTTTAATTATTGCCGTTTGATTTACATGAAAGTGGTTTCAGTGTTGTAAGTACTGAGTAGCTTGTGAGATGTTTTTAAGGAGAATGAGTAAGAATAAGGATAGCGTACATATACCGGTACAAAGATGAGAGAATGAAGTATACAGTAGAGAGAGAGAGAGAGAGAGAGAGAGAGAGAGAGAGAGAGAGAGAGAGAGAGAGAGAGAGAGAGAGAGAGAGAGAGAGAGAGAGAGAGAGAGAGAGAGAGAGAGAGAGAGAGAGAGAGAGAGAGAGAGAGAGAGAGAGAGAGAGAGAGAGAGAGAGAGAGAGAGAGAGAGAGAGAGAGAGAGAGAGAGAGAGAGAGAGAGAGAGAGAGAGAGAGAGAGAGAGAGAGAGAGAGAGAGAGAGAGAGAGAGAGAGAGAGAGAGAGAGAGAGAGAGAGAGAGAGAGAGAGAGAGAGAGAGAGAGAGAGAGAGAGAGAGAGAGAGAGAGAGAGAGAGAGAGAGAGAGAGAGAGAGAGAGAGAGAGAGAGAGAGAGAGGTGCACTGCATCAAAATATACCTGTAGATGTATATACAGTTAAGAACTGAATTATTCATACCCAAATATGTGAAAAATTGATTTGTCCAGATTCATGTTCCTTGAGAATGTGACATTAAAAGCTTAAACATTAAAAGGTATTCAACAAAGTCCCTAATTCAACCAGTCCACCTTGCATTCTGGAGCTACAAAAAACACAAAAAACATAAAATTTACAAGGGGTATGAATAATTAAGTTGTTAGCTGTACATGTAGATGTATACATGTGAATGTATGTCTGGTCTGCACACAACTCTAGTTTTGTAAGCTTCTCCCATGTAAAAGTTCCATAAAGAGAAATGGAAATCAATTTACATTTCCAATCACAATGTATTCAACTCTTTTTTCCTTCTCATTGCAATAATTCTCACAACAAAACAAACAAGAAACAATCTCCAGCATACCAAACTCACAATATCTACAAGAGGCATACCAAGCACAAATGAAAGAAATATATT